TTCGAGATGAAGCTGTCGAATGATTCGTATACGGTTAAAGGTGTTGATGTGATTGTGATGATGATGTTGTGTGATGAAGTGTGATAGAGTGTCAAGGAATGTTGTCGAGTTGAGGCTTGAACGCAGGTCCTTGAGATTGAGGGTATATAAAGTTAAAAAGAGGTGATTTGGAAGCCAAGGCGCTGGGCGCTGGGAGCACTATGCTTCAACCAGGAATGGAACAGGGGACTGGCCACTTGGTATGATGATGATGATGTGAAAGTGTTATGAATATATTGCGATAAAATAAGGGTGGTTATATGACTGTGACTTGTAATATAATGGGTGGTGATTGTAAGGGTGGTTGAGATGATCTGGTCCACTGGTGGGATGATGAAAGGTACAACTGGCAGGCAGAGGCCTCCTTATATAGACAAAAGTGAGCGATTTTAGCTCCAGGGTACATGCATTGGACGCATTTTAGCTGGCCTGAAAATACAATGAGGGAATTTAGCTAGTCTAATACATGCAGGTGAGGGAATTTGGCTGGTGAGAGCACTGCCTTGAGGGATTTTGGCTAGCCTACAAGGTCCCACTACAAAGGAATGCATGTGCACCTACAAAGGAATTCAATATGAAATATGAGCTAGTAAAGGAATTCAATATGAAATATAGGAATTCAATATGAAATATGCATCCAGTATTCAAAATGAGACGTGGTCAGGATAATAATAAAGAAAAGCTCCTGTGACAGCTTGAGATAAGTGTAACTTCTGAACCAGTAGAGATAAGAGGATAGTTGTAGTGAGTGACTAGGGGTTATTTTACCTGAGGAATCCATTTTTGAAGTTATTTTTACCATATCTTTAATATTTAGAGAGATAATAATAAATTTTTATATTTTTTGGCGTAGAAACACAGGAATAATTACCACATCCTCCCCCAACTTATTGACTGTCCCCAGTCAATTCTGACTTTGACTGTGTTTTGGAGTTATAAAAAATTGGAAGAGCCTGGCCTTGCGTGTGTCTGATTGGCTTGAGGGATGTTGAGTTGATGATGAATTTGTGTCCCCGAGTTTCGACCAAGCGTGCATCCAGAGAACTTATGGATTTGAACGGTGGTGAATCTGTTTGTCGAGTATTGTACATGAATCTTACAGCCAGAGAACTTGTTTATTTGTCCAACTTTTTGATTGTAGTAGAAAATCTGTTTTTGTCTTTTTTTATTTATTTTATTTTATTTTTGTTTTTATTTTATTTTCATCAAGTACTGGGATTGCACTTGATTTCTCAGAAAAAAATTAATTTTTGTTTTTTGTGTAGTGGTACAGTGTTTGGAAAAAAAACTTAGGCAAAAATTAATGTCTGAAGATTCAGCCATGAGCCACCACAAAATTCCTCCAGATTCTTAGAGTCCATGCTGGATAGTGTTGAGGTTCAGGCTTGAACCCATGCTTCATCAAATGGTAATCTTGAGTTCTTACATCACTCGACTAGACTTGCTGCTTGACTGTCTTCTGAGTTGGAAAAACAGTCCTTCGCGCCGTAGTCCGTCCGTAGCGGCCCTGTCACAGGTGTGACAGGGTCCGGTCCAATCGGCGAAGATTTGCCCTTGCTCCGTCCTAGGTATCCCTCTCCGTGGGTCTCTTCTTCCTGCAGCCACCTCGTTCGATCCGTCGTCACCTCAACCTTGAAATCTTGCATTTGAATCGACCGACGCCACTCTTATCTCGAATCCGATTTAGCTTCTTCTCCTCATCTGGTCTCAACTTCCTCACGACGCGGCCGCCCATCAATTTAATGATCCATCTGACAGGTAAGCGTATTTGTTTCTTCCTTTCTTCTAGTTGATTTCCCTATCTGACAGGTAAGCGTACGTCTCCGTTCTTTGACCGTCATTAGTGCTTGGCCTTGGAGACTTTGTGCTCTCATTCATCCGTGGGTAAGTCTTCTATTGTGTTCTACTTTGCCCAGTATCTGTTTCTGTTCCTCGCTCGATTTCATTCTTTCATATCGACTGACAGCTGACTAGAATGTTTCTTGTTTTAGCACCATCTAGGATCGTTATTGCGCTGATCGGTCGCAAGATTCAAGATTCTATGAGCGATATCACAACTGATGGGGTTTCATCCCTGGAAACCGCCTTGGGTGGCTTTCGATCCTTGTGGTATCTTCGCAAGCACCTTCCTCTTGTCCATAAATAGCATCCTCGTTTCCTGGCTTTCAACATCTCCTCACCAGTTCTTCATCCACCTCTTCATTCAGCATCATTGCTAGAAGCTGTTCCCCTCGGCTCCAGCTTTCATAAATCAGTGGGTAAGTTTTCTGTTCTGTTTCAATTTGGCTACTATCTGACTTGGAACTTGTCGTTGTTAGCTCCATCTTGGATCAATGTACGGGTTGTCGTTTGTCGATCAACCGATGCCGCAAACAACTTTGAGCTAGTCCCTTCCACCACGACTCTGTGTCTTTGCTCGAAACCGTGGTGGGTGTATCTCTTCCGTTCCCGTTCATTCTGTGTCTGAGTGGAATTCTAGATTGTCGAACGATCCCCGCAAATATTCAAGCTAGTGTTTCCTCCTTGCAACTACGGCCCTCATCTGCTGGAAACCGTCACGGATGTATCTCGATCCTGGCGGTATCTTTGCAAAGGCCTGTGTCTTTTCTATAAATACTGCACTTCCCTCGCGTCGTTTCTTCCGTTGCACTTCTTCTTTCCACCAATACCACCATGTCGTCATCGCCTGTTGAGATTCCAGTCCCTCGTGGCTACCAAACTCTATCTAATCCAACTCCGATCGACGATGTAAGTCCTCGTCTTTTTTGATTCTAATCCTGATTGATTGCTAGTACTAATCATGTCCTTGTTTCTAGACCTCCTTCATGCAGACTGGGATCCGTTATTACCCCAAGCGCGACGATTGGAGCCCGCTCTTCGTGCCTAGTCCTGAGGTGACTTGATCGTTCCTCTTCATTGTTCCTTCGTTCCTGTTGTTGCTGTTCTAGACATTGATAACTGGTGTGAAAAAGATAAAAGCAAAAAGACTCAAATTATTGTTTAAAACACAAAAAGTTTTGGTATCTTCTCCCTGTCTGCTTCTCCTCCAGTTATTATTGATTATTACTTTTTCCTTCTTTTCTTGATCTTTTCTTTTCAAGTAAATAAATTTTTAATTTTTCTAATTGATTGACCAGACCCCCTCCCCCAACTTTGATGGTTGTCCCCAACCATGGCTGATTTTAGTGAGTAAGAGTGAAGAAATCTTTTTTGAAGAAAATGAGTTTAGAAAGAAATAAAGAAAAGGAAAAAGAAAAGAGATAACAGAATATGCTATGGACTTTTCTCCCCCAACTTATAAAATTTGGCTGGAATTGGTATGTTTTTATCTTTTGTGTCTTTTCATCCTTTTTTTTTTTTTTTTTTTTTTTTTTTTTTTTGATAATATGGTATTTATCTTTTATCTTTAAATTTTTATGTTTATTTGATAAGATAACTAAAAACTGACTTAGAAATACAGAAAAGAAATTCAGAGAAAGATATGAAAGAAATGTTGTTATTCTGAAGTGTTAGAATCCCTGTCAGAGCTCTCTTCTGAGCTATGATCCGAGTCTGATTGTGAATGTGAGTCTTCTTCGTCCCGAATATCTGATAAAGTCCGTCCTCGTGGGTAGAACCTCTTGATGTGAGATGCAGCATAAGCCCGTTTTAGTTCAACTCCGTCCAGTTCCTCGAGTATATAAGATCCTCCGTTCAGTTGTTTCTTGACTTTAAATGGTCCATTCCACCTATTTTCAAACAATTTTCCCCACTGATCCTCTAGACTCTTGTTGTAAGTTAAAACTAGGTCCCCGGGTTGGAGTGGTTGTCGTAATCTAGCCGCCATTTTCCGATCCCAGAACCGAACTGAATTCTCTCGAGTTTCCATCATTTTGTGGTGAGCTATGTCCAAAATCTCGTCTCGTCTTTCCAACTGTTTTGTCCTTGCTTCAAGAAGTTCTGCTGTAGTACTGATTTCCGTCCAATCAATTCCCAGGTAGGTGTCCATTTCGATATCCACAGGTAGAACTGCCTTCTGTCCAAACATCAGCTCGTACGGAGAATATCCAGTAGTCCTTTTTGTTGAGATTCTGTCTGAGAATAAAACTAGAGGTAAATATTCCCTCCATTTTCCGCCTGATTCTCCACACATTTTTACTAATGTATCTTTGATTGCCCTGTGGCCTCTTTCGATCATTCCATTTGCTTCAGGGTAGTACGGCGTAGTTGGTTTGAATTTGGCTCCAATGCTTTCCACCGCCGTAATAAATTCGTTCTTGAATTCTGGTCCATTGTCTACCGTAACCGTCTTGATTGCTCCGTACCAATACACCCAGTCTTCTAGAAGGAATTTAGCAATAGTGGATGCTGTTAATTTGACCAATGGTGCTGCTTCTGCCCATCCCAATAAGTCGTCTCTAGCAATTATTAAGTATTTATACCGTCCAGCTTTGATATGGCAAACGTCCAAAGCCACTCGTCCAAATAGAGTTGTCGCCCCGGTTGGGTCCCTGATTTCTCTAGGTACTAAAGCATCTCTTTTCTGACAGGCCTCGCAACTTTGAACCCACAACTTTGTTTTCTTCTTCAAACTGGGCCACCAAAATCTGCAAACCAGTCGTTGATAAGTTTCCTCCAATCCTCTGTGTCCCAATTCCTCATGGACTTTTTGCAAGAGTTTACTCTGGTAAGAGATGTTGGAGATAACCAATTGAGCCATGGGAGAGTGTCGCCGCATGAGTCGTCCGTCTTGCATAAAGAAGTTAACTGATTTTCTCTTTATTGACCGGTATTCCTCAGGATCCATGCCTGTTGGCCGCTTCATTGTACTTAAGTAATTTTTAAGGTCCATCCAGAATCCCGGTGCTTCCCATTCCAAAAGTTCTTCTGATATTGAAAATGTCCGGAACTGGTAAGTTGCACGTATCACTGGCTCTTCTTCATCAAAATCTGGCTGATCCTTATAGAATTCTTCCTCTTTGTCACTTATAGGCCTTCTGGATAAAGTGTCCGGTAAAGTAAATGTTTTCCCCGGTTTATGCACTATGTCAAATGAGAAGAGTTGAATAAAGGCCACCCATCGCGTCATTGGTGCATTTGGAAGTGAAGGTGAGTTAATCATTTGAATAAGTGATTGCGCATCAACTTGTAATTCGAAGTGTTGACCCCAAAGAAGTGTTTGTAGTTTCTTGAGAATTCGTGATACCCCGCATAGTTCTAGTTTAGGCTGAGAATATTTGGATTCCACGGGTGAAAACACTATCGACTCGTATAACACTGGTCTATTCAATCCTGTCTCTAGTTCTTGTTGGGCTAAAACTGCTCCTGCCGCAATGAAACTTGAATCCACAGCTAGTACAATCAGCCCTGCGCCCTTCCGAATAGTCCAGATTCTTTAAGGTGATATCTTCTCCAATTATTTGTTTAAGCTTGTTGAATGCTTCATTACACTCTC